CCTACTCTCACCTATGGTCATGAGCTTTGGGTCATGACTAAAAGGACAAGATCTCGGATTCAAGCAGCCGAAATAAGTTTCCTTCGAATGTTGGCAGGGCGGACTCTTATGGATAAGGTGAGGAGCTCTGACAACCGGAATGAGCTCGGACTAGAGCCGCTGCTCCTCCACATCCAGAGAAGTCAGCTGAGGTGGCTCGGGCATCTGTTTCAGATGCCTCCTGCATGCCTACCTAGGGAGGTGTTTCAGGCATGTCCCACCAGGAGGAGGTCTCGGGGAAGACCCAGGACACGCTGGAGGGACTATGTCTCTCGGCTGGCCTGGGAACGCCTCTGGATCCCCCCAGAGGAGCTGGAGGAAGTGTCTGGGGAGAGGGAAGTCTGGGGTTCTCTCCTAAGACTGCTGCCCCCGCGACCCGGCCCCGGAAAAACAGCAGAAAATGAATGAATGAATGAATGTTTGCTTATTAATATGGTTTAATCATCTTCCTTATTTGTTTTTAATGCTTTTTACGGTTTTAACTTGGCCATTAAAAATCTTTATGGTTTAGCCTGGTGAAATCTTGACATTTTATTCATTATAGTCTTAAAAAGGTCTTAAAAAGTATTAAATCTGACTTGATGAAACCTGTAGAAACCCTGTTACTGCTCCAAAATATTTTAAATGCTTCTCAAAATAAGATCTATTGTGTTAAAATAGGTAAAAAGTTTTTAGTTTTTTACCCAGACATTTAAAAGACCAGATTTTAGAGCAGTAATCACAATACCGTGAAGCTGTGATATTTTGATCCAAGGTTATCGTACCGTCAGAGTCTTATAGCGGCCCATGCCTAGCCTCTACATCAAAGCCAAGAGAGTCAAGCTGCTCCAGGATTGGCCAGCCCAGTCACCAGACATGAACATTATTGAGCATGTCTGGGGTAAGATGGAGGAGGAGGTGTTGAAGATGAACACAAAGAGTCTTGATGAGCTCTGGGATCCTGCTGAAGGCTTTCTTCTTCATTCCAGATGACTTTATTAATCAGTGATGTGAGTCATGTCAGAGATGTATGGATGCAGTCCTCCAAGCTCATGATGGAGTCAGACACAATATTCATTCTGTCTCCACTGCAGCAGGACTTTATATTCTATACTGGACATTATTTCTGTTCAGTGATGAGACTTTAGTCTGAGCAGAGTCAGACCGCACTGTCCTCATCAAATCAGTCAACATCAAGACATGATCAGATTTATTGAGCTCAAATCAGCAAAATCTAGAGGCCTTCACCTTTCATAAAGACACTTCAGACACCAAATCATCAACTAGCAGACAAACTGTTATTTGTTGTTCCTATAACTTGGATAGACGACAAGAGTTTTGTCAGGGAGGGTAGTCTTAGTGAACATCAATAATATAAAAATCTGAATATATAAAGCAGAATGTGTGCTAAAACAAGTCATTAAAATTATTAAAATGGTGAAAATAATAAAACATCTCTACAATCAAAATACCACTGACATGAACATTCAAAGAAAAGCTCGTTTTGCATGTGAATTTAAAGAAAAACAATGAAATAATTTGATTGGATAATTGGATTTGTTCAAATCACAGTCAAAAAATACAAAACTTATCTTCGTCGTCCAGCAAAACAGAAAAGGGGAAAGCAGCAGGTCTGTGAGGTAAGAGCCGTTAGTCAGACACTTTTCTTTTTGTTCCATGTTAATATAAATGCGTGACTGTCGGCTTCGCTGTTCAGAATCAGCTCTGGTCAGCAGGTGATGAAGGTCTCCTGGGATATTGTTATGGAGGACGTTTGTGGAGTCAGACGGCTGTAAGAGGGCCTCCTGTCGACGGTGTGCCACAGGGCTGAGTGTTGGGCCCGCTGTATTTGCGGATTCTGCAGAATATGCAGCACTCTGCTTTCTGTGTGTGACGGTCAGAGATCCCGCCGTGTCCTCTGCTGTCAATGACATGTTCAGGAGCTGCAAATTATGAAGAATAGTTGTGCTTTTTGGGCTGCTTGTCTGTGCAAAACTGGCCTGCTTTAATGGCATGCAGGAGGGGATGGTTGCCGGGGTGTTGATATGTGGTTGCCAAGGTATTTGGAGAAGATTTGAGAGCATTGCTTAATTGGGCTGGAAGAGCACAGCTCTTATTAACTCTTAAAATGTAGTCCTTCTGGCTATTTCCTGGGTCAGGCCGACCTGAAGTGCATTTAATACAATTACAGAGGTAATATCAGCTTTAAAAAGAGAGAACGATACGGTAAAAACCTTGAGGATGAATTACTTCTCAAACATGACCAAAAATAATGATTAAATAACACAAGAACATGAGATTTAAATACATTATTTTGTCTGTTTTTAAAGATGGTTTTTTATTTGTTCTTCACAAAAACTAATATTTAGCGTTTCAAGACAAACATTGCTGGTCAATCAGTACACACTCCTGTTCAAAGCAAAGTTCTCCTACATAAACAATAGTAAAAAGTGTAGTATTGGGTTGCACAGTTTACCGGTACTATGGTAGTATCGCGATACCATGGCTCCAAAATACAGGCGGTGCTACTGTAGTTTGTAAACGGTAGTACTGTCATTACTCATTATGTGTGGTTTATACATAAACTAATTTCGAGAGGATCATGTGCTTATAACTAACACGGCTGGCTCCTCATTAGCTCCGTAATCTGCCTTATTAGATGATTACGGAAGCATTACGGCTAGCACTGTTGCCTCACAGCAAGAACGCCGCTGGTCCAACCTCCTATCAGGCTGGTTAGTGTTTCTGTGTGGAGTTTGCATGTTCTCCCAGTGTTCGTGTGGGTTTCCCCCGGGTTCTCCAGTTTCCTCCCACCGTTCAAAAACATAAACCATAGCAATCAACTAAACCAAATTGTCACCTAAGACAACCTTAGTTTACACTTCTCACACGGCGACAAGCAGGGAAGTTCTCCAGACCTACCTGAGCTCGAACTCCCCTCTCACCCTTCTACAGGGAGGGAGCCCCGGGCTCGAGGATATTACTAACTCAGGGCTCTTTCCCGGGACAGCATGCCAAATACGCTTTATTGATTATCAGCTAAGTGTGAACTACAACAGATAACGTTGCATGTGGAAGAGTCATTAAAATGCTCACAGATTTGTGCAACAATAGACCTTTTTATTTGAAGAGTCTGTGGTGCTCTTTAAGATTGCAAGTTTTCTGATGTTTTCTGATGTTTCAAACGCACATCTGGATCAGGTCATCTCTGTTCCTCTCAATATGATTTAGTAGCTACAAAAACACAGACAATCTCTTAAAAAAGAACATTTTAATTCTAAATTACTTTCAATACTTTGGATGGTTATGTTATAAGACCAAAAAAAAAAAAATAGATAAGAAACCCAAAATAGCAACAGGAAACATTTAAACAATTTTGACCACTTCATATGTCCTAATTTTGTTGGAAAAAGCTAATTTTGTAAGTAATTCCATTTGGTATAATTTGTATCTTTATTTTATGAACTATAAATCAAACTTAGGAATTATTATAAATTCAAGACCTATTACAACATGTTAAATATAGCATTTCTGACAATTTTTATATGATTTGAGTCATGAATTTCAGTGTTGCAATACTACTTGGTATCATGATACTTCAGGTCGTATAGTATCGTAAGATGAATTAATGGTATCGCGACAACTCTAGTATAGTAAATTAAATTATAGTAAATACTACAGTGTTTTTGAACCATACTATTGTAACGCACTTGAATTAATCTACCGCTGACAAGTATTGTAATTACCTGAAGTAGTGATTCTACAGTTGCTATGGTAACACAACAAGTATAGTGATTAATATGAAGTGGTAATTCTACAGTTGCTATGGTAACACAACAAGTATTGTAATTAATCTATAGTGGTAATTCTGCAGTTGCTATGGTAACACGACAACTACAGTAATTGATACATTGTGGTGATTCTATAGTTGCTATGGTAACACAACTACAGTAATTGATCTGTTGTGGTGATTCTACAGTTGCTATGGTAACAAAAACTATAGTCATTAATCTGATGTGGTAATTCTACAGTTGCTATGGTAACACAACTACAGCAATTGATCTGTTTGTGGTGATTCTACAGTTGCTATGGTAACACAACAAGTATAGTCATTAATCTGATGTGGTAATTCTGCAGTTGCTATGGCTACACAACTACAGTAATTGATCTGTTGTGGTGATTCTACAGTTGCTATGGTAACACAACAACTATAGTCATTAATCTGATGTGGTAATTCTACAGTTGCTATGGTAACACAACTACAGTAATTGATATGTTGTGGTCACTACAGTTGCTATGGTAACACAACAAGTACAGTAATTAACATGATCTGGTAATTCTACAGTTGCTATGGTAACACAACTACAGTAATTGATACTTTGTGGTGACTACAGTTGCTATGGTAACACAACAAGTACAGTAATTAACTTGATCTGGTAATTCTATAGTTACTATGGTAACACAACGGTAGTGTTCAACTTTAGTGAAAAACTATAGTGTACTTCAGTATTGATGAGTTTATCAGTTCACCATAGTTAGTACTGCAGTATGCAGCAACAGAGTTTGAAAGACTCTAATATATAAAACAGAATACACTTTACTACAGCACAGCTCAAACACAATACAGCATTTACTGTCAATTACCATAGTATCTCTTCATGTGGGCTATAAGTGACAACCTTCAGCATGATGAGAAAAAGTAGGTCACCTGCAGTCCTCGAGGTGATCTACTGTGTGTGTGTGTGTGTTTATGACATATTAGGACACATATGAGTGTAACGACACATGTATTACAAGGAAAGGTGAATTCTGAGGACACTGCTGATGACCCCATTAATCAAAAAGCGTACAAATCACACACAGTCGGTTTATCAGAAAGTAAAAGTGCAGTTTCCTGTGAGTGTTGTGTTTTAGGCATAGGGTTGATGTATAAAAACTCTGGAATGTCCCCACAATTCACAGAAACATACCTGTGTGTGCAGGCTGCTGGAGCTGGAGAGCAGTGGGCAAAAGAGCGAGGTGCGTCTCCATTTCCGGACGGGTCTCCAGCAGACACACACTGAGATTTTCCCCTTCACACTGGCAGACGAGCAGTGGCACAGAGTCTCCGTCTCCATCAGCGCAGCGCACCTCACACTCTATGTGGACTGCAACAGGTAAGACACACACTCACACACACACACATACACACACACACACACACACACACACACATACATACATACACAAACACACCAGACATACACACACACACACACACACACACACACACACACACACACACACACACACACACACACACACTGCATGAGCAACTAGGCATGGGCTGGTATAGGATTTTGACAGTATGATAAACTTGAATAAAATATCAGGGTTTTACAGTATTGTGATTATTTATTTATTCATTTTTCTTCAGCTTAGTAACATTATTCATCAGGGGTCTCCACAGCGGAATGAACCGCCAATATTGTGATTACAAAATATGTTCATTTTAAGTAAAAAACTACAGCTTTTTCCCCCATTGAACACGATATATGTTAATTTAAGAAACATTTATAATATTTTGCAGCAGTAAACACGGCTCATTCAGAAAGCGTAGCCCTGTAGGCGTTTCTGGAGACGTTATGTCGCCAGAGGTACATATGGCTGCATGTAATTTTTTGAATGAATGCTATGGGGCGGTATGACGCCGTTCCTTTACTCGCTTATCAGCTGACCGCTCACCTCCTTATAGACGGCTTTCCTGCTGTTGCCAATTTGTCCCAGTAGTTCGTCATGTACGAGGAGCAGAGAGGAGTTGACCATGACAACAGGCTTCGAGTCTGGTGAAAGCGGTTCTAGAAAGCAGCTAAGACAAAAACATAATCCAAAAAATGAAATAAACAAGTAAATAACAGGGTGAGAGTGTGGTAAAACGTGGTAAAAATCAGACGAGGGCTTTTCTTTTTCTGGATTGCTTTTGAATATTGTTGGTTGGGTCTAGAGAAGTGGGTGGGCAGGTCAGTCAGTGCTTTTGAAAGCACAATTGGTTGGGTTTAGGGAAGGAGGAGGGTGGGTCAGTCGATTGGTCAGTCAAACATGGGTGAACAGCAGGCGTTAATAGCACTTGTGAGAGAAATCTGAGGGAAAAAACAAGTGTACACAGCGCCCTCTGGTGGATTCGCAAAAACAAAAACTGCAAAAAAAAAAAAAGCGTACCCCTCAGGATGTGTTTCGCAGTCTTCAGAAATGTTTACAGAGGTACGTTTTCAGAATGAGCCTGGGTTGAAAGTGAAGTCTCTGCACTGTTTCCCAAACGACTACGCAACTCGTGGCTGAACTACCATAGTCTGATGCACCGTTCGGGAAATGAATGATGTAGTGATGAGCAGGGTGCAAATTATACACTGACGCTCAGGGGATTAACCTTTTCGGTAATGTTAGTTCGTGTAACACAGATGTATTTATTTAAATGACGTATACTTTATTAATAAAGCATGTTTCAGTTTAAAAGTGTTGTTGGATATTTTGTATAACCTGAACTACAATATTCTCTGATCAGCTATGTCTGAGGTTACTGTAGGTCAGACAACACAAAATATGCATCCAGCTGTGTACTTTTAGGCTGTGTGTAGAAACAAACACCTATTTTACAAGAAAAAGTGTTCAAGTGAAGATTATACACTGACAATCGTATGATCCATTATGGGGTGGTCACATGTATATGTATATTATCTATAATGTTAGTGTGTAAGATGCACTACATCTCACCGTATCTATTTAGCACTAACTGACCCAGCTGGGACTCAAACCAGCAACCCTACTTACTGTGAGGCGACAGTACTAACCACTGAGCCTCTCTAGTCAGTGGTCATCTCTGGTTCGAGTCTCGGCTGGGTCAGTTGGTGTTTCTGTGTGGAGTTTGCATGTTCTCCCCGTGTTGGTGTGGGTTTCCTCCAGGTGCTTCGGTTTCCCCCACAGTCCAAACACATCCCAGGTAGCAAAGAATTCTGGCCCAGGTTTGGCATAAAGCTGGCGCAGCAGGCATTCATCCGGCACTGGCATACAGCATGTGGGCCAAACATGGCCCAGGTTTGGCCGAGGCGGCACCGTCTTACAGGCGGCACTTGAGACTTGGGCCAGAAATCAAATGTAGTATTTGGCCCAGTTGTTAAAATGTATATGTGGGCCACATAAACTTTGGTCTATCTTGACCCACTTTTAAAATACATTTAAGTTATTTTGAGTAAAGACACCAACATATTTGGCCCAGGTTAGGCCCAGTTATGGGTTAATAACTTGGCTGAGACTTGGCCCAGATGTGGTCCATGTTTGCCTCATGTATGGAAGCCAGACTTGGTCCAGTCATGTAATTCACTGCAGCATGTGAGCCAAGCAAATGCTGATGGTGTGGGTCAGATCTGGGCCAGAGAAATGTTGCTATGGGCGAAGCGCTATAGGGGGAACTGATCAACTAAACTGGCCTTAGTGTATGAGTGTGTGTGAATGAGTGTGTATGGGTATTTCCTGGTACTGGGTTGCAGCTTGAAGGGCATCCTCTGAGTAAAACATATGCTGGAATAGTTGGTGGTTTATTCCGCTGTGGTGACCCCTGATGAATAAGCTAAGCTGAAGGAGAATGAGTGAATGTTTGTGCTGTGGTGTTGCGTCTGATTCTCTCATATCGTCCTCCAGGATCTACGAGCGAGTGGTACCTGTTCCTCTGATGGAGATCCCAGAAGACAGCTCGTTCTGGGTCGGGCAGAGAAACAGCGCTCACGGCTTATTCAAGGTGCTGCACACAAGCATTAGTAAACCACACACACATCACAATAATCACAACTCTGAGTACACAGAATACACACATAACACCTTATTCACACGGCGCATCAGCGTCAACGCTTCCTATTCACTCTGAATGGGTGATGTCAGGCTTTGTCGAACTGCATTGTGGATCCGTCGGTGCCGCTTTAGAGGCGTTGCTCGCTGCAGAAGTTGGGACTAGCTCAACTTTTCAAGCGCCGATGGAAGCGTCAGCCAATCAGATCGCTGTATGCAAATACACCAGCTAGACAGTGGCCTATTGCTGACTGAATTTCATTGGCTGACGCTGCTATGACGATCGCTTTAGCCCCAACTTCAGACACGCCTTCAGTCAAGCGCTGACGCTGAAGCCCCGTGTGAATGGGGCATAATGTCAAATACAGTGCGCTTGCTGTGTCTGAGCACCTTCTGTCTCCACTCATTATTTGATAAAAAGAGGTATAAAATGTGCACAGACGAGCCACAAATGTCGGATTATATCTGTCAGTTTCAGTCGTTTTGTTAATTGTAGTAATTCCTCTTGATATGTTTCCAGTTTTGACTATTTGAGTGCATCAACTAAACACCTTTGCCTTGGCAACTGTCCGAAAAGTGTCTTAGTGTGTATTCATGTGTGTGTGTATTAGTGTCTAGTAGTGAGTGTAATAGGTGTGTGTATTAGTGTGTGAATATGTGTATGCATGTGTGTGTGTGTGTGTGTTTGTATTAGTGTATGTGTGAGAGAGTATGTGTGTGTGTAAAAATATACGTGCAGTGTATAAGTGTGTGTGTGTGTTTGTGTATATACAAGCATGTGTGTAAATGTGTCTGAATTAGTGTGTGTGGATTTGTGCATGCAAATGTGTGTATTTGGATGTGTATTAGAGTCTGTGTAAATTACTGTGAGTGTACATGTGTGTAAGTGTGTGTATATGTGTGTGTGTGTGAATGTCAATTAGTGTGTATTAGTGAGTGTGTGGTAGGTGTTTTTTAATGTGTGTGTTTGTGTGTGTGTCTAGTAGTGAGTGTAAGAGGTGTGTTTATTAGTGTGTGAATATTTGTATGCATGTGTGTGTGTGTGTGTGTGTGTGTTTGTATTAGTGTATGTGTGAGAGTATGTGTGTGTGTAAAAATATACGTGCAGTGTCTGAATTAGTGTGTGTGCATGTGAGTGAGACTTTGTTTGAATTTGTGCATGTAAATGTGTGTATTTGGGTGTGTATTAGTGTGTGTTAACTACTGTGTTTGTAAGTGTGTGTATATGTGTGTGTGTGAATGTCAATTAGTGTGTATTAGTGAGTGTGTGATAGGTGTTTATTATTGTTTGTGTGTGTGTGTGTGCGTGCGTGTGTATGTGTATTAGTGTATGTGTGAGAGAGTATGTGTGTGTGTAAAAATATACGTGCATTGTATAAATGTGTGTGTGTTTGTGGGAGTGTGTATTAATGTTTGTGTATATACAAGCATGTGTGTAAATGTGTCTGAATTAGTGTGTGTGCATGTGAGTGAGATTGTGTGAATTTGTGCATGTAAGTGTGTGTATTAGTGTGTGTATGTGTGTATATTAGTGTGGGTGTGTATTAGTGTGTGTTAATTACTGTGTGTGTACATCTGTATAAGTGTTTGTGTGTGTGTGTGTGTGTGTGAATGTCAATTACAGTAGTGTGCTTTAGTCTGTGTGTGATAGGTGTTTATTATTGTGTGTGTGCGTGTGTGACTTGTGTGTATTTGTGTGTTAATTAGCGTGTGTGTTTGTATTAGTGTGTCTGAATTATTGTTATGTGTGTGTAAAAGTGTGTGTGTGTATGTGTATTAGTGTGTTTGTATAAATGTTAGTTTTAGTGTGTGTGGCCTCAGCTTGTGAACTCTCTCCAGTGTTAATTGTCAGATGAGGAGCCGCTGGATGTCGTTTGTGGATCTTGACGAGTTTTCTCGCCCCGCCCCCTGCTTCTGTCTCCACGGCGACGCTGATTAGCAAAGCCAATACATGTCTCTGTTCTCCATCGCAGATATAAGTCAGAGATGTGTGTGTGTGTGTGTGTGTGCGCTCTTTCATCAGGCCTCGTCTCTGGACTGTTGCGCAGACGCTGCAGTAGTTCTAGCAGCGTCTCAGTGGCCGTTTGCACTCAGAGATATTGATGTAGTTTGAGCCGGCGCTGATCAAAGGCACCATTACTGTTTGATTACCCATGATTCCACACTCGTTGACCGCGCGGCTGCTGTAATTTAAACAATCCCTCTGTGCATGTGTGTGTGTGTACGTGTGTGTGTGTGTGTGTGTGTGTGTGTTTGTGTGTGTGTGTGTGTGTGTGTGTGTGTGATTCAGGCAGAGGAAATGATCCCACAACATATTACCTGAATACCTATGAGGACTTTCTTGGTTATCAATCATAGTTGATGCTGTGTGTGTGTGTGTGTGTGTGTGTGTGTGTGTGTGTGTTTCATTTCTTTTGCATTTCAGAGCAAATGATCCCTCAAATAAAGTTATGTCTGAATGCGTATAGGGTCTTTTTGCTTATAAATCACATTTAATGTTAATGTGTGTGTGTGTGTGTGTGTTTGCTGGGGTCAGGTTAGGGTTAGAGGAGAGAATGCACAGATTTTACTGTATAAAAATCGTCTAGTTGCCATAAAGTGTACATCACACTCAGCACATGATCATGCCAGTGTGTGTGTGTGTGTGTGTGTGTGTGTGTGTGTGCGCATGTCAGTTAATGTGTGCTTGTACGAATGTTCATGTGCATGTGTGTGGATCTATGCCTGTGTGTGTGTTGGTGTGTGTGTGCATTGTGCATGCATAAAAGTGTTGATGCATGAGTGTGTTGATGCCTGTGTGTGTGTGTGTGCGTTGATGCATGTGTGCATGTGTGTGCAGTGTGCATGCATGAATGCGTTGATGTCTGTATGTATGTGTGTGTGTGTGTGTGTGTGTGTGTTAATGCATTGATGCATGTGTGTGCAGCGTGCATGCATGAGTGTGTTGATGCCTGTGTGTGTGTGTTGATGCATTGATGCATGTGTGTGCAGCGTGCATGCATGAGTGTGTTGATGCCTGTGTGTGTGTGTGTTTGCGTTGATGCATGTGTGTGCATTAGCGTGTGTGTGCAGTGTGCATGAATGAGTGTGTTGATGCCTGTGTGTGTGTGTTTGCGTTGATGCATGTGTGTGCATTAGCGTGTGTGTGCAGTGTGCATGAATGAGTGTGTTGATGCCTGTGTGTGTGTGTGTGTTGATGCATGTGTGCGTTAATGCATGTCTAAATGCATGTGTGTGCTTTAATGCATGTGTGTGTGTTGGCGTGTGTGTGCAGTGTGCGTGCATGAGTATGTTGATGCCTGTGTCTGTGTGTGTGTTCTCGCATGTGTGTAAGAATGTTTTTATATGTGTGTTTTCATGCATGTAAGAGTCTGTGTGTGTCTATGTGTTTATTCATGTGAGAGAGTATGTGTGTACATTTGTGTGTGTGTGTGTGTTTTCATTGATGTGAGAGTCTGTGTATGTATGTGTGTACATATATATGTGTGTGTGTGTGTGTTGTTGCACGTGTGTGAGAATGTGTTTTCATATATGTGTGTGTTTTCATTGATGAGAGAGTGTGTGTGTGTTTGTGTGTGTGTTCATTCATGTGAGAGTGTATGTGTGTACATTTGTTTGTGTTCTTGAAAGTGTCAGGGTTTTCATGTGTGTGTTTTCATGGATGTGAGAGTCCATGTATGTGTGTTCATATATGTAAGTGTGTGTGTGTGTGTGTGTGTGTGTGTTCTTGCATGTATGAGGGGTTTCATGTGTATAAGAGAATGTTGTTTTCTTATATGTGTGTGTTTTCATGTATGTGGGAGTCTCTTTGTGTGTGTGTGTGTTCATGCGCGCTCGCTGACTCAGACAGGAGCTGAATGTGTTGATCAGTAGTTCCTCTACACTGAGCTCGCTCTCCTCCATCTCTCTCATGGCTGTGGAGGATCTGCAGGACCTGCGGCGGCTCCTGAATTTACGGTGGGAAAATTGAAGAGGCAGGACAATTTCCAGAAAACAATTTCTCATAAGTCACGCCGCTCGACTCCTGCCAGGCCCAAATAAACGCTTTCTGGCGGAGCGCGATGGGCTGGTCGTCATGGCGACAGAGTGTCTATACGCGACGCCGGATGGAGGCCAATCAAATTAAGGCACATATGAGACAAATTCAATCTGTGTGTGCGTGTTTTGCTTATCAGAGGAGGACAGCGAGCGGTTATTACGCTCCCGCCACCCACATCATTTCCTCACCGCCGCGTGGATTATGTCCAATTACCAGAGAGCGCGCCCTTGCCCACCTCCTATTAAACTGCACTTGCTTTCTGCTGGACTCTGAGTGTGTTTGATTACCGCAACGAGTGGAGATCTACAGCCAGCTTCTGCATCTCCATCTGTTTATTTCTGGATGTGTTATTCTCACCGAGGCCACAGATTTCTACCATTTCGAGCACATTTAGAGGGACAACAATACTTAGACACATAAACTCACTTTCAGAAGAGATTTACACACTGATATACACTCACCGGCCACTTTATTAGGTACACCTGTCCAGCTGCTCGCTAAGGCAAATTTCTAATCAGCCAATCACATGGCGGCAGCTCACTGCATTTAGGCATGTAGACATGGTCGAGATGAGGTTCAAAGCGAGCATCAGAATGGGGAAGAAAGGGGATTTAAGAGACTTTGATCGTGGCATGGTTGTTGCTGCCAGACGGGCTGCTCTGAGTATTTCAGAAACTGCTGATCTACTGGGATTTTCACGCACAACCATCTCTAGGGTTTACAGAGAATGCTCTGACAAAGAGGAAATATCCAGTGAGCGGCAGTTCTGTGGGCGCAAATGCCTTGTTGATGAGGCCAGAGGAGAATGGCCAGACTGGTTCCAGCAACAGTAACTCAAATAAGCACTCGTTACAACCGAGCTCTGCAGAAGAGCATCTCTGAACACACAACACGTCCAACCTTGAGGCGGATGGGCTACAGCAGCAGAAGACCACACCGGGTGCCACTCCTGTCATCTAAGAACAGGAAACTGAGGCTACAATTCACACAGACTCACCAAAACTGGACAATAGAAGATTGGAGAAACGTTGCTGCTCTGATGAGTCTCCATTTCTGCTGACACATTCGGATGCTCGGNTCACAATTTGGCCTCAACAACATGAAAGCATGGATCATCCTGCCTTGTATCAGCGGTTCAGGCTGCTGGTGGTGGTGTAAATAAACCATTTATGGTTTAATTAATATTTATTTATAATAATAAAACAAACTTTACTCACCAAAATTAGGCTAGAATCCACTGTAAATGACTTTAGCGGAGTCCTGCGCTCACGCTCCATTCACACGGGGCTTCAGCGTCAGCGCTTGACTGAAGGCGTGTCTGAAGTTGGGGCTGAAGCGATCGTCATAGCAGCGTCAGCCAATGAAATTCAGTCAGCAATAGGCCACTGTCTAGCTGGTGTATTTGCATACAGCGATCTGATTGGCTGACGCTTCCATCGGCGCTTGAAAAGTTGAGCTAGTCCCAACTTCTGCAGCGAGCACCGCCTCTGAAGCGGCGCTGACGGATCCACAATGCAGTTCGACAAAGCCTGACGTCACCCATTCAGAATGAATAGGAAGCGTTGACGCTGACGCCACGTGTGAATGGGGCCTTATATTTCAGGACTTAAGAGCAAGTAATAAAACATAGACTTGCCTATCTCGTTGTGCTTGCGTACACATTTTAAGAAAAGCAATGTAGCCTATACATATGACAAAAGTAGTGTTAAATAGCCTTAAGCGAAAGACCACTGGTCTATGAGGTGTTTATGGAATAGGCTATCTTAAACTGACCATGCAGCTATGTTTCTCCCCTTATTTACATACTTACCAACACTCCCATTTTTCCCAGGAGTCTCCTATATGTCTCCTATATCTCCCGCAATCATCCCGTTTTGTTATTTCTCCCAGAAAACTCCTGTAATTTCACCCCCCCCCTCCTTTTTTTGGTACAGCCTGTAAACACCCCTGGGTCATCAACTTTGGTACAGTTCCTGATCGCAGTGGCCACCCAAAACCCCGCTGCATCCTATCCCGGTTCCCAATAGTGTTATTCAGAGACCTCACCCCTGAACACCACCCCCCACCCCAAGTCTCCCAGATGTTTTGGCACATGCACTCTTGCGTGATAGGAAAACTAGTGTAATGACAGGGGCACAACATCTTGCAAACTACACCTCTGCTGTCACTCCGCCCCGAACCCCAGCTGGCTCACTTTGGCCTAAGGCATTCGGCGGGCCGAAAAAGGCCGGCTGCTGGCCCTGAGAAAGCCCCGCCTTGGCCTGATCAGGCCTCCACAGTCACCAGAGCTCAATCCAATAGAGCAGCTTTGGGATGTGGTGGAACGGGAGATTGGCATCATGGATGTGCAGCCGACAAATCTGCAGCAACTGTGTGATGCTATCATGACAATATGGAGCAAAATCTCTGAGGAATATTTCCAGTAGCTTATTGAATCTCTGCCAGCAAGGATTAAAGCAGTTCTGAAGGCAAAAAGGGGTCCAACCCCTAGTGAGGTGTACCTAATAAAGTGGCCGGTGAGTGTATTTGTGAATATCTCCAGCAGCCTCTAATGTTCAACATGAAACACTTTGATTGACCTTCACCCTTTATACGTGTCATCAGAGGGGGCAAGCCCCGCCCACTGGTGCCCATCTCTATCACCTCTACAGCGTCCAGCACCAGTCAGACCCAGTTAGAGATGAAGCCTCTATATATACACCTCACGCTGAAACTAAAGAGTACAGTAATAAAGTGTATCAGGCGCTGATCCAGAAGCATGTCCAGAGTAAATGTGCAGTAATGAGTGTTCAGACTGCACAGGTCTAACACACGCAGCCTTGAACATCTAAAAGCCGCACTTTGAGAATCTCTGGCAGGTTTTACCCATGATGCTCTGCTGGTGGCTGCATCGAGGACTGAGAGAATGTGCTTATGGGCAATAATCACACACATTTCTCCATTGAGCAGCTCAAGGTCTGTGTTTCCGAGTGCTTGTTGTTGATTGAGTGGTGTGTTTAGATGTAATTAGACTCAGCAGTGGTGGACGGTGTGTGTGTGTGTGTGTGTGTGTGTTTACCACACTGCTGTACTTAAGCACATATTCGAAGTGTCTGTAGTTCATTGTGTTATATGAGGATTATTATTATAGTATTTTTATTTTTGGAAACTTCTACTTTTACTTACTTACACAACACTCCACAACACAGTAGTGCACTTTTTACACGATTACATGTCCTGAATGAATCTGACTGAAATTTTTGTTATGGGAGAGATCATCGCTTGCTGATTCACTGATTCAAATGATTTGTTCAGAGTTGTTCTCCAGTAAATGATTCACTGATTCAAATGACCTGTTCACAGTAAATCTCCAGTAAATGATTTACTAAATCAAATGATTTGTTCAGAGTGAGTCTCTAGTAAATGATTCACTAAATCAAATGATTTGTTTAGAGTGAGTCTCCAGTAAATGATCCACTAAATCAAATGATTTGTTCAGAGTGAGTCTCCAGTAAATGATTCACTAAATCAAATGATTTGTTCAGAGTGAGTCTCCAGTAAATGATTCACTAAATCAAATGATTTGTTCAGAGTGAGTCTCCAGTAAATGATTCAAAAAAATAAAATGATTTGTTCAGAGTGAGTCTCCTGTAAATGATTCACTAAATCAAATGATTTGTTCACATTGAGTGTCCAGTAAATGATTTACAGATTCAAATGATTTGTTCAAAGTGAGTCTCCAGTAAATGATTCACTAAATCAAATGATTTGTTCAGAGTGAGTCTCCAGTAAATGATTCACTGATTCAAATGATTTGATCAGAGTGAGTCTTCAGTAAATGATTCACTAATTTAACTGATCTGTTCAGAGTGGATCTCCAGTAAAATATTTACTGATTCAAATTATTTGATCAGAGTGGGTTTCCAGTAAAGGATTCACTGATACAACTCATCTGTTCAGAGTAAGTTTCCAACAAATGATTCATTGATTCAAATGATTTGTTTAGAGTGAGTCTCCAGTAATATATTCACTGACTCAAAAGATCTGTTCAGAGTGAGTTTGCAATAAATGGTTAATTGATTCAAATAATCTGTTCATAATGATTCTCCTGAAAATCATTTATCATTGATTCAAATGATCCGTTCCTAGTGAGTCACCATTGATTCACTGATTTAACTTATCTGTTCAGAGTAAGTTTCCAGTAAATGATTCACTGATTCAAATGATCTGTTTAGAGTGAGTCTCCAGAAAATGATTCACTGAGTTAAATGATATGTTTAGAGTGAGTCTCCAGTAAATGATTCACTATTTCAAATGATCCTTTCAGAATTACTCTACTTAAAATCATTCATCACCGATTCAAATGATCCGTTCCTGGTGAGTCTCCAGTCATTAACTGATTCAACTGATCTGTTCAGAGTAAATTTCCAGTAATTGATTCACTGATTCAAATGATTTGTTCACAGTGAGTCTCCAATAACTGATTCATTGATACAAATGATCTGTTCCGAGTGAGTCTCTAGTAAAAAATTCACTGATTCAAATGATCCATTCAGAGTGAGTCTCTCTAGTAAATGATTCACTTAATCAAACAATCTGAAATGATTCACTGATTTTACGAACGGATCTAAATATGTTTGTAAATTGTGGTTTTGTGTGTGTTTGTGTGTGTGTGTGTGCTGCAGGGAATCATGCAGGACCTTCAGATCCTCGTAATGCCGCAGGGATTCATCACTCAGTGTCCTGATCTGAACCGCAGTACGTGCTGCTAATTATTAATTAATATTAATAAAACATGTGCTCGTCTGTCAGGTCTGCTCAATGCATGTATGTGTGTGTGTGTGTGTGTGTGTGTTTTTTAGCCTGTCCGACATGCAATGATTTCCATGGACTGGTGCAGAAGATCATGGAGCTGCAGGATATTCTGGCCAAGACCTCCAGCAAGGTGAACAGCAAACATTCAGACTGTAATGAATGCATTAATTGCGGTTCGTCAGCTGGAATGCGAGTGTGAATGACTGCCAGAGGAGTTTCATTAGATCTGACACCAAATATCACGGCATATTATTATTAAAGCAGGATGATTCTGCATGTAAAAGTAGAGCGAGGAAAATATGCTTTAGATCAATTAAATACACTATAAACTCTGCGTATTCAAAGCAGCAAATATAAAATACAGCAAATAATACAATATTAATAACATACAAAATATTAGAGATTAATTAAACTTGCAATTTTATCAAGGATTATTATATAAAAAGACACCAAATACACTGACAATAATATAATATAATATAATATAATATAATATAATATAATATAATATAATATAATATAATATAATATAATAATATAATATAATGTAATATAATATAATATAATATAATTAAATATAATATAATATAATATAATATAATATATAATAATATAATATAATGTAATACAATTTAATATAAT